CGGCGGTCAGACCCGCGGCTGCTCTCCCAGTTCTTCTACGCTGACGAGAGGGTGTCACGGGTGGTGGCGGAGATCAACGGGCTGGATGCTGAGATGGACCCGCAGCAGTACCTGGTGCTCCTGAACCAGCTGCACCTCAGCCAGGTAGGGCTGGCCCAGCACCCGGGCTGCCCCACAGGGCCCAGCACCTGAGGTGGCCGTGGGTGACGGTCCCCTGCTCTTGCCCAGTCTCACCTGCTGGCCGTCATCGAGCGCATCATGGAAGAGTGCATCCCCACACAGAGGCACAGCCGCGACTACCTCGTCAAGTTCCCTGAGGAGCTCCTGGTGGACAACCTGGGCAACCACATGCTCTTCGCGGCCGAGGTGAGCCCTGGGTGAGCCCTGGGGTCCCCCAGGTGGGCAAGGGGCCATGACAGGGGCCAGGCCTATCCTCAACGGGACCGTGTTCCCCAGCCTGGTGGAGCAAGGGCCAGCACGGGACACCCTGCAGCCATCCTGGAGCCCTGCGGGGCCCTGCCTGCACTGCCCCGGTTCCTGGCACCCCCTTGCTCTTGCAGTGTCTCCTGGCGGGCACTTTCATCGATCTGGAGGAGTCGGACAGCGTCCAGCTGCGGCCCCAGGCCAGGAACCTGCTGTGCAGCCTGGAGCTGGTGCGCACGGTGCTGCGGGAGCAGAGCCTCAGCCAGCCCAGCACCTACTCGGAGGCCGTGCGGGCCGTGCTGGTGCAGTTTGACCGGCTTTTTGCGGAGTTTGAGCTGAGGTGGGTGCCGTGGCGGGGAGGCAGGGGCAGGGAGCACGCTGGGGCAGAGGGGTCCTCACGACCACCGCGTCTCTCCCAGCTACGTGTCCTCGCTGGTGGCGGTGAAGTCACCCGAGGAGATCTACCGGCAGCAGGAGATCATCGTGCTCTTCTGCGAGACGGTGGAGAGGTGAGGGCTGTGCCAAGGCACAGGGCAGCTCCTGCTGGGCATGGGGCGCAGCTGGGGATGCTCCAGCCTGGCGCCCTGGGCAGCCCTGGGCCCTGCGCTGAGGCTGTCCCTCCCGGCAGAGCCCTGCGCCTGGGTTACCTCACGCAGGAGATGATCGATGGCTACGAGCCGCTGCTGATGTTCACCATCCCTCGCCTGGCCATCATCAGGTGTGTGCAGACCCCGGGGCGCGAGGGGTGCCTGGGGGCAGGTCTGGGCGCTGGGCTCTCCCGGGTGCTGCCCTCACCATGGGGCAGCCCCTCTGGGCATGTGCTGATCATGGATCCTTGCAGCGGGCTCCTCATCTACCCAGAGGGGCCCCTCAGCCTGGAGCAGAGCCCAGAGCAGATGTCCCGGGTCTTCAGCCCCTTCTACAACCTCCTGAAGAAAATCAGGTAAGAGGACTGGGGTGGTGCCAGGGCTCCAGGGTCGGGTTGTGGCCTGGGGTCTTGCCCCTGACACGCTGCCCTCACTGC